TAAGAGAATTCAGAGCTTCTTACTGTTTGCCAGCTTTTTTGGGTACCACTTCTAACCTGGACACTCCACAGTGCTTGTTTGTTTTGCTTTTAAAGCTCCTCTGCGTGACAATATAGCCACATTACTATGGTCCTCTTTCACTGTTCATTTTGCAGATGCTAAAACTGAGGCCCAGAGAAATACAAGTGATACAGAGGCAGAAGCAGAGGCAGATCACAGTCTCTTCCTTTGCAGAATGTATTCTTTGCTCTTTAGCAAGTCAGTAATTTCAAGGGAGGGATTTTTGTAGACCAACAGACTTGGAGGGGCCCAAATATTTCATGAGAATGCAAAGACTTTGAAAAGGCAACCTACCCTTGATTCCCTCCCCAACCCAATTTTAGAACTATGGCTGAGCAGTTAGCAAACAAGTATTTATTGAGTAGAGTGAGACTTGGAAAGATCATATTTCATCTAATATAATGATGGGGGGAAACACAGGAGAGTCTCACTAAATACAACTGCTTTGGGTAATGTTGAGAGCCACAGCCGAAGGGGCCTTTCCCACATCATGAAGTTCTATTTTGTTTTTTGAGCTCATACAGACCTAGGTTAATGTTTTGCTGATCAGTTCTATTTTTTGACTATAGAGTTTTTAAACATTGCAAATGGAGATTTCACCTGTAAAAAGTTATAAGGCCTTTACTATTATGTTATGTGTTGTGTGCACACTTGTGTTTTATGTTGTATGTTTGTATGTATGTATGTCCATACATACATATGTATGTATGTATGTATGATATGTATGATACATACATATCATATATGATGAGCACTCATGAAAAAATGGATCCAAATTTTTTTTATTCACGTGATTTAAATGGTTTAATTTAAATTGGGTAAACAGCTGTTGAGGATTGTTTTAATATGTGAACAAAAAAGGAGGTTAACAGATCTGTTTGTTTACTTTTACCTTTCCTTTTCATTATATTTAATAATTCTGTTCAAGATAATGTAAATTGTTAAGAAAATTGTTTTCTTTTAGTGCCTTCTGGAATGT